TCCAGTAAGTGACAGAGTCAACCAAGGCTAGACTGATGTGAAAAACTAATCTAACTGAAATGCTGTCTTTTGGAATAATATACAGGGACACTTGAAAAAATATTAGTAAATATATCTTTGGCTTGGCTGAAGTCTAAAGGAACATAAGCAATATCTTGATTTAGAGGCCCAATTTGTGCCTATTTTCCACACTGACTTGCGGAATCATGGGGCCAATATTAAACTTTAATTGTACTATATTTCTCCTGTGAAGGACTCTCAGATTCTACAGTGATAGTCATGGTGATGCTTGTATTGCAGCATCTTGGTTTGTGCAGTGATTGTCTTTGTTGGTAAAATATTTTCCTTTTCTGAAAACATGGAGAAAAATTCTCATTTGATGCCTTTTATTATCTAGATGACCTTTCTCCTTTTATGTTCTGTGTCTTGGATGCTATCGTGAGGGAAAAATAACTTACTCTTCTGACACTAGCATGTTTAATGAAATTCTATTAATTATACTGTTTCTTAATTGTAGTTGGTCTTTTACTACCTTGGTACATAAACAAATCTTAAGAAAGCTCTATGTATTATTCTCCTAAAATGCATACGTATTTTCCATTTCTACTTTTAAATAGTTTATGGACACTATGGTAATATTAAAAATATTAATTTTACTGGAAATTTTGTTGGGGGTAAGTTATATTTCAAATTCCTGGAAGTTATGGCAATCTTTTTTCCTATACGAACATTTTCAGTGTATTTGTAAGGTTGAGGGAATAAGAAGGAGGAAATTAAAAGCCTAGGATATTTCTTAAACTAAATGAAACAAAATATATATACGACTAAAACAAAACCAAACAGTCTTACATAAGTAAATGCAAGTTTTACTGAGAAATATATTTTTGGAGTTTATAGATTAAGATTCCCAATTATTTACTAGTAAAATTCACTATATTTAATAATTTGATATGGATGACAGGGAGTTTTGATGGTAAATAATTTTGAACTCCCCAAAGTAGATATTATTTATATATATTATGTGTTGATTTGTTCTTATTTACCACATACTGTGCAGGGTATCCAGCCTGTGGCCTGTGCACTGCATGCAGGTTATTTGAGCACTGTTTTGGCTATCTGTGGTGCTGGATACTTGGAAAAGTATGCATGGACCTTTCCATTAGTGTTTGTGGATTTACTATGTGCCCCAAACTATTCCTACCATTGCAATGTGCAGTAGAAAAGAAAAAGGTTGGACACCCCTGATACAGTACTTAGAGAAAAACTACCAAATCACTTTTTAAAATAGAAATAATTATTTTAGTGCTTTTTTCTGCATTGAAAATGTTGCTGAAAGCCAATATTATGGTCAGAAAAAACTATCTGGTCTAATATGTCAATCAATCCCTGCATCTTCTCTTCTGAGATAAGTATGAATCACTTTTAAAATATGGATAAAATACTCAATTTATGATTAAATGTTATCTATTTGCTGCTTTATAAATTGTAGCAAATATCACATAATATTTATCCAATTATCTTAGCCTTCAGGATATTCTACTGGGGTCCTCTTGCTGATTTTTTAAATATTGCAAAAATATATGACTATTAATATATAATGCATTATCATTTATAATATGATAATACTGATAATTTAACCTTTTTGCTCTAATATTTAGTTCAGCTAGAGCAAGCTTTGTAGGGATTTATTTTTTTGTTAATAACTTTATTACTTGAAATGTTTTTCTATGCTCAGATTATTTTGCTTTATTGATTGATACAAGTACATATGGTAATTAAAATTATAACTGTTTATAATTTACAAATGCTTCTCTGATGTTCCTTCTTATTTCACTGAGCAAACAGAAGTTCTATGACTCCTGCCTCCCTCTTTGCCAGCTTGCAGCCTTTGTCCGTGGTGTCTGTCTCCTCTCCTATCACAGATTCTAAAGTACTGGATCATTCCTGTAAGCACACAGATGAGTAATAATAAGTCACATATTTTAAAAATATTTAAATTTCAGAAACTCACATTTCTAAAAACAAGGAAAAACAAAAATACCATCCTGGGATGCCATCCTTTTCTAAGTTCACCTTGATTTCCTACACTCTGCTTTGTAGCACAGCTCCTTGGAAAAGTTTGTTGCCACTTTCTCCTCCTACTCTTTCATACCTACTCCAGTTTGGTTTTCATCCCCAAGTCTATATTGAAATATTTTGTCATTGACCATCACATTGTAAATTTCAGCCAGTGATTCTCAGTAGTCTTTTTCAACCTTCAGCCTCCTGGCAGGATTTGTCACTGTTGTTTGGAACACTTGTCTTTTTTTACTTGGCCCTTGAGCACAGCTCTTGTTTTCTCCCACTACTTCACTGGCCTCTTTCTTGTCTCTTTTTTTACTGTTTCCTCTTTTCCTCAGCTGTCAAACAATGGAGTATTTAATGGCTCAGTCCTAGGTCATCTTCATGTCTTTTTTATGTTTACTAACCACCTGGTTTCTTCCAGTCTCATGACTTTAAATAGTATCTATACACTGATGATTCCAAATTTAAATTGCCGACCCTAACTTTTTCCCTGAACTCCCAACATGTATACCCAACATTCATCTTCACTTGCATATCTGTTAGACATATTACAGTTAACAGGAATGGAAACACTTCCTAGATTCCTCCAAGCCCCCAGCAACTCCTGCATTTATCCCCACGTGGTATATGGCTGTCTCTTGCTCAGGCAAAAACTTTGGAGTCATCCTTGGCTTCTCTTTCATCAACACTTGATCCATCAGAGAATGCTGCTGTCTCCACCTTTGCAGTGTGTCTAGAAGGTACCCCCTCTCATAACCTCCTGGGCTACCTTGTTCAAGCTGCCATTTTCTCTCCTGAACTCTGGCAGAGGCCTGCTAACTAGTCTCTGTGACTCTGTTTCTTAGAGGCTGTTTCTTTAAACAGACTAACCCCTTTAAAATATAAATAAGTATCACTTGTCTCAAAACCTTCCCATAGCTTAAACCTGATTCTGAGCACAATTGCTTTCCTTACTCCCTCTGTCTTTCTGACTCGTCTGTCACCACTCTCTCCCCTACTCACTTAGTTGGCTCCAGCTTCAGATACTCCAAATAAACTCTTTGCTCTTTCTTGTAGATGCTAAACACGTACTTGTTTCAGGGTCTTTGCATTTACTTTTCCGTCAGCCCCAGATGCTCCTCTCCCAGGTAGACATGTGGGACAGTCCTTGTTTCCTTCAGGTCTCTGTTCACATATCACTTTGTTAGTCATGACCATCCTATATAAAATAGCACAAACAAACCTATCAATCTCTCACATCATTCTATTGCTTTTATCATGCTCATTTTACTTTATAGACCTTATCACCATCCCCACTGGAAAGGCAGCTCCATGAGACAGGGACTTAGTATCTAGTCCAGTGCTTGAGACATAGGAAATGTTCAGTGATATTTTATACACCATGGCAGTATTAGTTCCTAGCAATTCATTCATATTTTATGAATATATTATGAATGCTAACATTTTCATTTCATTTATAAGTGTAGCATAGCAACTAATTACTATAAAATTTCCTGTGATGTAACTTTTGAATTATATATAAATTGAACCAATTTAGTAGCATGAAATAAAATAAATCCTTTTGTTTGATTTTTATCCTAGGTATGAATTAATACAGAAGGGATTAACTGAACTTAGAGGTGTTGGGACTGTTCCAGACGTCTACACCCAGGTTATGCATTTAGAAAATGAGAATAAACATTTAAAGAAAGACTTGAAGCACTATAAACAGGCAGCTGAGTATGTTATTTTTTAATGGTATTTTTTTTCTTTTTCTTTTGGTGTTGAATGAAGCTGATATGTGTAATGTACAAGGGCTTTAATTTTGGAGAATTAAGTTATATTTAAGTTCTAATTGTAAAGATACAAAAGACTTCACTAGCAAATTAATTAAACATATAACCACAACTGTCATAACTCTAAGTTGTGAGAGCAGAATGCAGGGTGATGTGTAGGAGATTGGCAGTTTGTTATATAACAGCCGCTTCTTTATCTGTTTGGTAATCTTTTCATGGTTTAAGAAATGTTCATCTTTGAAGATAAGTTAATGTCTGAAACACTAATGAAGTTACAGAAAATAGAGAAGAAGAGTTAGTTTATTCCTAGTAAAGGAATTTTAGTATTGAAAAATTTCCCCAAAGGAGTGATGTAAACTATGGATATTGGGTGATAATGATATGTATGTTTATCAGTTGTAAAATGAGTAATACTCTGGTGGGGGATGTTGATAATGGGAAAGGATATGCGTGTGTGGGGCTAGGAGGTCCATGGAAGATATCTGGACCTTATGATCACTTTTCTGTGAACCTAAAATTGCTCTAAAAATAAGGTTTATTGAAAAAAAGAAAGGAAGAAAAGATAAACTATCCATAATCTCACCACCCCGGGTCCATCACTGTTACTATTTTGTTGGATATCTTTTTGGACTTTTCTCAAAACTTAGACATGCTGGAGTATAACGTTTAAATAAAAACTGTTAACAGTGGCTTATGTTATATTTTGTAACTTTTCCATTCAGTAATATGTGATATATTTTCATGAAAATAAATTTTATTTTTTCTTTAGAAAAGTTCTTGAAGGGAAA